AAATCATGGAGCTATGACTGACCTATACAAGATCACATATAAAAAGGAAGTGAGACAGAGGGTAGTAAAAGATAATGTAACCAAATTGAAGTTCCATTATATCATTTTTCAGTAGATAGCAATGGACAAACATTTCAAGTGTTAAGGTTATTCTGACCTTTCCACTTGGAGACCATTTCACACCAAAAACCCAAGAATATGAAAGATCGAGCTGAAGGATTTGCTATTTCAACAAAGACAGTAGAAAAAAGCTCCCTAAAATTAGAAGAGGGGGTGGGGAATATATTATATGGCATAACATTAGTATATTACTAAAACCAAGGAAAGCCTGCCAAAAAAAAAAAATCAAACCCCGCCCAAATTTAGATTCCGCTGATGAGCCTCCTTTTGAATCCCTGTATCAGCATATTCAGTGAAGACAAATAAGAAACTAGCCCACGTTTGGCAATAGTTTTTTTTTTTAAGTAGATGTTCAAGTAATGAGCTTACTTTGTGTCAACTCCTTTGATGAATGTTGAAAATACCCGATATTTTCCATCTGTAGATGTTGTTGCCAGAAGAATTTAATGCGAACCAGGCAATCATAGAGCACATCGGAAAAGTATACCATTAACCATGATTTAGAATATTAGCTATGTTGTAGAATTTGAGATTCTATTTGAGGATCTTGTACTCTTTATTCTTTCCAGTGGCAACCTTATAAAATAGTTTCGGTAGAGAAAGCATCTATCGAAAGCCTGATCAATATTTTAGCTACTGAAGTAAACGAGGTTGTGTTGATTGCACGCACATTATTAGGATGCCAAGTGACACTTGCGACTGAAGATTCATGCCGTTTCCGGATGAGTTTACTGACCCACCTGACAACAATAAAGCAAAACAGTGTTACCCAACCAAAATACCGAAACTTTACATGAAAGTCATAATATACTTTGCGAGAATTGCACACATTCCAGATTTCAAACCTCTATGCAATACACAGTTATGCATGTCAAGATGAAATAAATTCACATGCCAGTAAATAACACAGTATCGACTAAAAAGAAAGTAGATAACAGAATACCATATAATAGACCATCAAAACCATTCGTAGCATAGAAGACAGGCAACATTCCAAAGAAAGAATATAAGAGCAGAAGACGAAATTACCAGTTATTTTCTTGCTCATAGTAGCATATACAAACAGTTTTAGCACCGGTTCCAACAGCAAACTTATTCTCTAAGGGAATTGAGCAAAAAGATGGGAACATAGGTTAGAAGCTGCAGATATTATGGAAGGGTACATTACAAATTACCTATACAATGAAGCTAAGTAACTCGTAACTTGTGGATCTGATACGTTTACCTTTTGGACTCCATTGGACACAAAGTGCAGCACGATTTAGTCTAAGAATAACAAGAGTTGGTACCCATTCACTTCCTTCCAGGCTCCACACGTACCTTCAGGAATTCCAAATTCAGGTTAACGAACTATAAGAACAGTGAACTAAGAATAAAAGCTTTGCAATTTCTCATAGCATTGAACGAAGTACAAGGTTGCCCAAATGGACTCTTTCCTCTAAGAATATTAAAGGTTGCAACTTACGAGTTCCTGTCATGGGAAACAGTGACGATTTTGTTGGACTTTGAGCTCCAATCTATTCCAGAAACAATTTGGTCATGCTGCAACGATTCAAACAAAAATCATGAAGTTGTCGTAAGGGAGATTCAAGCTGTCTATTGAACACTTTTCAGTGACAAATGATCAGTAACATGAGGATAACGATAACTATATCAAGCGTAGAATTCCCAGGAAGAGAAAGGAAAGGAGTGCACGCTCATTAGTTTCAGATCGAGACAGAAAGCTTCACCTTTTCGAGGACATGTAAGCTCTCCACTGGTCTTGGGATGATTTATAGATATGAACTTCATTATTTTTGGGACAAAGTGCTACCACTACAAGAAAAAAAGGAAACAAATGACACAGCACATACATAAAGGTGTTGTAACAAGACACTGCGTTCATCTGTTTAGAAAAATCTCATCAACTAATGTAAAATAAATTGATACCAACTGTTTCCTAAACCCAACATAGCAGCATCTCTTTGAAATCTCTTCCTGAGTTGAACCTAAGATTATATACATGACGGGATTAATCTTCCTAGAACGAGGAATAAACCAATGCCAATTAACCTCGTGATTCCTTCTTTGAGCAAAGAGACCAACACAAGGGGAGACAAGAATTTACCAGAGAGTTGTCAAATTCCATGGAATAACGAGCAATTAAATTGGCAAGTCAAATTAGTTTCCTTATCTATCTTCTTACCAGCCAAATTGTAGATTCTCATTATATAATTCTAAAACTAAAGTTCTCATATTTCTGTAATCTGCGTCTCCAGATTCTGTTGCCCTTTTACTCATTTCTCGTCTTCCAAAAAGACCAAATTGGTAAAAGTAAGCGAAGCAAGAAAGTGAGAACCTGAAGTGATCAGGGCTCCAAGCATGGCAAGTGATTAACTCTGCGAACCGGTGGACATCCACCACAGCCATGATTCCTTTGTCTCCACTTTTCTCGCGGAGAGAAATTGGTAAATCAAAGGACAGTCTTTCCTATCAAATCGATATCTCTAGATTCCTGGGTCCGGCTAAAATGCGAACAGATCGAACGGAACTTTGGCCGAATGATGGCTGAAACTCCGATGAGATCCGAAAGCTCGATGACACTCTGCAAGACGTGAAGTGAAAGAGAAAGAGAAATGTTTGTTTGTCTTTTGCGCCGCTAAGGCAATTCCTTTCTCCTTTAAGTGAACCGAACAAACCGAATTGATCCGAATGTAAAAAAACTAGAAATTTCGGTTTAATTTGGAACATTTCTAAAAACCGAACCGTAATTTAGGTCGGTTTAGAAGTTTCCCAAACCGAATTATTCGAACCGACTATCCGAATTAATGATCCGTCTAATCGGTAAAATGAAATAAACACAAAAGATTAGGGTTTTAGGCTTTTAGCAGAGTAAAACCTTACTCGATCTCAATCCCGAATCGATCGTCTTCTCGATCCCGAATCGATCGTCTTCTCTATCCCGAATCTTACTCGATCTCGTCGTCTTCTGGATCCTCAAATTCTACTTTTGCGTGTAGATCATGGCTTCCAAACAGACTCTTGAAGACCGTCTTGCTCACTTCCGGATCTTTTTCTTCAGTCTCAACACCCTCCTCTCATGGACCGCGATTTCAACTTTTATTATTGGTATGTCAAGCTTGGCTGTTCTCTTTTTTCACGTGCTCTCACATAGGTTCTTAGCCTTGTCAATGGTGTCGGCTTTAGCTTGGCCTGTGCATATCCGTTGGTTTTGTTTGGAAAGAGTTCCTTTTTGTGAAGTGAGAGGAGAGGTTACTGCAAACCGTAACATCTACAGTCTAAAGAAGACTCTGGGTCAAATCTTCACGTTAGTATTGTTTACAGTGCTAGATAATCATCTCAAGTCTAGGGATAGATGGTTATCAGTAGCTTTCTGCAGCAGCTTCTTCTTGCACATAGTTGTGTGTATGGTGATTTACAGAATTGGAGAAGATTTTGATATGTCATCGGGTTTTTTAGCTGCCACTTTTGGCATGTATTTTGAGACTTCAAAAGACTGGATGGAGATCCTCTGTCTTTATATTGTTGTTATACCTTTATGGTCATTCAGAAATTTTATCGTTGGTGGGGAAGGACCGAAGACCACAAAGTCTTCAAAGAAAACACGTCTGCCTCCGGACGCACGGCAACAAAATAAGATCATACTTCAAACACCACTCTCTGCAACAGAACGAATTGAGCAGATTTTGAGTACTTTGAGGCTAAATGTGGTCCGCAACAACGACCTGCTTTCACTGGGCCAATTTTGTTCGCTTTCTGTCTGTTTGAAATGCATGCTCAAACTGATACCTGAGCTTATTGAAAACGCTGGAGGGTATTTTTGGGGCATGATGGTGCTTTTGGTTTATGGATCTCTCATGGCTCTGTACTGTGGTATTTACAGAAATACCAAGTTAGAAGAGAGAAGTGAAACCACTAACTTCAATATTCTGATCAAGAGCTTGGGACAACTAATGATTTTGGGGATATTCAAGTTTTTAGAGGTCTATCTAATGGCTGTAGACAGAGGCTATGCAATCAAGGTCTGCATTGGGATGTATCTTCACATTGTTTGTGTTCTTGTCATTTTAAAGGTAGGAGAAGACTGTGATCTGGCATTTGGGTTCTTAGCAGTCAGTTTCAATCTATTCTACAAGTCAGTGAATGATGAAGTGGAGTTGGCATATCTCATAGTCGTGAGCTTACTATTGTGTTTGATGAAAAACTTCCTAGTTGGGAAGTTTACTAAAGAAGAAATTTTACTAAGTGAGAAGGAGCTTGATGAGAAGATTGATGAGAATAAGGTAGATGAGAAGAAGGTTGATGAGAAGCTTTTGAAGATTGGAAAGCATAAGAAATAACCCTTTTATTTCCCTGCCATATCTTTGTTGTTGTCTCCAAAAGAAAAAAATATTGTGACATTTGTTTCCTCTCTAGCTTTTTCTTTAATCCCTTGTACATTCATTCTTGGAATATAATGGAAAGTTAACCAAGAACTCTGACATTTCAACTGTTTTTCTTCTTCTTCTTCTTCTAAGCCAACCTTCATATACATATGTTTTCTTCCGATAATCTGGGAGTCTGTGGGTTTTAGGTTTCTTGTTTTGAGAGATTGAAATGTAGTTTTCGACCTGGGTTTTGATCTTCCTTGTATGTAACCTTACCGTCTCGCGATTTCTGCTTTCCGTGTGAGCTGAAGTCAACCAACCGAGCGAATTTAAGGTGAGCTATATCTACTCATGCAGAGATGTTAATCTTAGGATTTAGTGAATGATTGCTTTTTGCTGCTGAGATCTATATGCAACGATTTCTCTTGTCCAGTCCAGTTCGAATACTTAATCCTGAGGAAGCTGATTGGTTCTACGTCCCTGTGTACACCACTTGTGATCTCACTCCGAATGATGGCATGTGCCATTCAGCTCATTGCTTCCAACTGGCCATACTGGAACCGCACTGAAGGAGCTGACCACTTCTTTGTTGTGCCGCATGACTTTGGAGCCTGCTTCCATTATCAAGTAAACCAAATAATCTGAATCTCTTGTTATGTAACATGTTCCCCTATGATTGTGTGCTACTGTTTGAAAGTGCTCACTACATTTTAACTGAATCATAGACAAACCAGTTAAAAAATACTGTTTGTGTTTGGAATATTTTTTTGGGGCTGAGTTATGTGCATGTTTCATGATGTTCCCCTGTACAACTAAAGCTAGTGTTGAGTAGATCTTAATACTCAGTGTTCCTCTCTAACATTGGCGATTGACTTGACTTGCAAAGCCCTTTTTGATGTGACAAAAGCTTTTATTTGGGCTTAAGCCGTAATATATCCCTTCCGCCATGATTACCAAAGGTTCTTGCCAGCTATACTGCAAACTAAAAGAATACACACTGATCTTTTGTATTTGTTCTACTGTGGCAGGAAGAGAAGTTGATTGTAATTATGAGTAACTGGGAGATTGAGCTTTGTATGGTTTTTTTTTGTGTTTCTCTCTCAATAGCATTGTAGCAGCGGCGATGGCAGTGCGAGATCAATGATTTTGGTGACTGCTTCTGTGGATAGGATTATCATGAAAAGACCCATTCGTGTGGATGTTGACCTCAGTATAGTAGGCGCTGTTACATGGGTCGGAAGATCATCCATGGAGATGCAGTTACAAGTAATACAAAGCCAAGGTATCAGTTTCTCTCTACTTGACAATCTTCTTGCCCAGGTTCCTGAAGAAAACTACTCCCTGTCTCAAATGACTTTTACGGAAATATTTTATCTGAAATAACGAACATGGTAACCTACATAGATGTTAGACACACGGATAGTTGGTGTTTTTTGATTCTGCTAGCAAAAAATAAGTAAATGATCTGATCGAATTCGAAATTACATTGGTTATGTTGGGTTTCATGTTTGAAATGGTAATTTAGGTGGTAAAAACGCACATAGTTGAAGCAAATGCTAGTTGTGAGAGTTTTATTGAATTTGAACTACTATATCTATGTGTTCTAGTATATAGCTTACTGTCATCATTGGAACAAAACATAACTTTCATGGCACTTTTTAAATTCAGTGATATCTCTGTATTCACGCAATTGAATTATGGTTTTTTCCCTTTGAAACTTCGATAAAGCCAACCACTTATCATTCTCGTCACATTGAATGACCTGTTGCTTAGCTGAATCTTCTACTGCAGATGCTAACAATCCCTCTGAGTCGGTTGCTCTTGAAGCAAACTTTACATTCGTGGCTCGGGATGCCAAGACAGGGAAGTCAACTCCAATAAACCAGGTCACGCCAGAAACTGAACATGAAAAATTGCTGTGGAAAGAAGCAGAAGAGAGGAACAAACTACGAAAACAAAAGAGAGCAGAAAGTAAAGAAGAGCATGAGAAGCTGAAAGACTTAGAGAGGCTAAATGAGTTATTAGCGGAAGGACGAGTGTTCCTGGACATGCCAGCTCTTGCAGACCGGGACAGCATCCAAATTAAGGATACTTGCCATGAAAACTCATTGATATGTCAGCCACAGCAACGAAATATTCATGGTAGAATATTTGGAGGCTTCTTGATGCGCAAGGCTTTTGAGCTCGCCTTCTCCAATGCTTACACCTTCGCTGGGGTTTCACCACGTTTTCTTGAAGTTGACCGCGTCGATTTTATCAAACCAGTGAGTCTATTTCCTTCTCATCTTTTCATAGATATATGGTAACCATAGAAGAAATCGATTTAGGGATTGTTGTTTCTGGTGGTGCAGGTGGATGTGGGAAACTTCCTTCGTTTTCAATCACGCGTACTGTACACTGAAGCTAACAATTCAGCTGAACCGTTGATAAACATCGAGGTTATAGCTCATGTTACAAGTCCAGAGCTCAGGTCAAGCGAAGTAAGTGTTACACTAATAACTTTAAATAAAGTTGGAGCTATGTACATTACAAGTTTAAGTTGTGATGGTGATGTGATTTTTGTGTGGTAGGTCTCCAACAAGTTCTACTTCACCTTCAGTGTCAGACCCGAAGCCATGAAAGATGGATTAAGAATAAGGAATGTGGTTCCAGCAACTGAAGAAGAAGCTAGAAGGGTGATCGAGCGCATGGACGCAGAGAGACCAGTCTCATTGCCTTGATCGCTGCATTTGAACCATTGATTTAGGTGTGACTAAAAATATGAATCAGAAGCCATTCTTCTTTTTTTTTAAAAAAAAGGAGACTCATGTGAGCATTCTTTTCCCTTTAGCTTTCTCAACTTGCACTTAACTTAAAATGCGAGAGAAAGGTTTATCTGAGACTGACTTAGTCTTAGCTTATGAAAGGAAACATCTAATACTTTGTCAACCAATTGATAAATGTACTCATGTAACATGTGCATACAGACTTCTGCTTCTAACTAACCTACACTTCAATACTTTTTGATTTTCAGACTATTTTCTAATAAAGAGAAAAACAAATCATATGTTGGGGTGAGTTGTGTTGTGTGATGTTTTCATACTTTTGGTAATTGACTCGTTAAAAATTTACCCAAACCATATCAAATAAAGTCACAGAGCCCAAAAATAAATTCATTTCATGCTGTGTGATTAACGCCGGAAAAAATCCATCATTTTGCGATTACTGTCAATTTCATGCTGAGATGGTTTTTAATCATTACCTTTTTCCCACAATCGCTTTTTGCCTTTAGACCGTGAAATCGATGGAAAGCAATCGATCCCAAATTCTCCCATTTCTCAATCAAAACTATCTGGGTTCACTTGTGTGTTGCTGCTGAACGTCGGAATCAGAAAAATATGGACCGGAGAGAAGACGAGCAACAGAAGCGCGACGATTCCAGATTCAATCAAACACTCAAGAACGTCCAGGGGTAATCAAATCAATCGAATCTACTTTGATGTTTTCTCCTACCAGATCTTGCCTTTTTCTGATTTCAATGTGTTGCTATATCCGTGTATTTAGATCTGTAACTTTGTTAATGCTACTTTGAATCTCGAAATTCATCAGGAATCATATCGAATCGTCCAGAAATGTTGTTGATTTTGATTTTTCTCTATATTGTGGTTGTTTGTGGGTTTTAGGTTTTCTGTTTGTACGAGGAGGCAAACTTTCTGAGAGATTGAAATGAAGTTTTCGAGCTGGGTTTTGATCTTCCTTGTTTGTAACCTTACCGTCTCGCGATTTCTGCTTCCCGTCTGAGCCGAAGTCAACCAACCGAGCGAATTTCAGGTGAATTATATCTACTCGTGCAGAGATGTTAATCTCAGGATTCAGTGAATGATTGCTTTTCCCCAATTTTTTACTTGGATTTAGCAGTAGTGAGCTGTGTGGTCATCAGCGAATCGAATGAGGACTAGGGTTTACTTTTGGTGTAAGTCTTTCTGTGATTGATTTTCAATTTCACGCATTGTTTTGGAGTCTAATTGAATATGGGGATAATGTAAATCAGGATGCATATTGATTTGTATATTGTTGATGGCCAACAAGAAACAATAGTCATGCCTCAGTTAGCCGATCCAGTATCTTGTCATTTTGATCATTAACTTTAATTTTGCATTATCTCTGATCTCCTGTAGATTTTCTTACTTATCTATCCATAGCCTTTCCTTAGTGGTATCAGTGTTTTGATGCTCGAATCAAACTCACGTGAACTTTAAGTGTGTGTTGTGGTTTTTTTTTGTTTTCTTGATGTGTAGGTAGTGCTGGTGATGTGTTGGAAGATGATCCCGTGGGAAGACTTAAAGTCTTTGTTTATGAGCTTCCAAGCAAATACAACAAGAAGATACTTCAGAAGGACCCGAGATGCCTCACCCACATGTTTGCTGCTGAGATCTATATTGAACGGTTTCTTTTGTCCAGTCCAGTTCGAACACTTAATCCTGAGGAAGCTGATTGGTTCGACGTCCCTGTGTACACCACTTGTGAAATGATGAGAAGTGCCATTCAGCTCATTGCTTCCAACTGGCCATACTGGAACCGCACTGAAGGAGCTGGCCACTTCTTTGTTGTGCCTCATGACTTTGGACCCTGCTTCCTTTATCAAGTAAACCAAATAATATGCTCTGAATCTCTTGTTTTGTTACCCTAATTAGCCCCTGCTTCATCTATGCTTTCTGCACAAAACTTGATGCACATTGTGAATGATTGTGTGCTGCTGTTTGAATGTGCTCACTAAATTATCTCTAGCTCTGCAAATTGTGAAGAAAACATTGTTTCATACATTTTTAACTGAATCATAGACAAACCAGTTAAAAAATACTGTTTGTGTTTGGAATATTTTTTTGGGGCTGAGTTATGTGCATGTTTCATGATGTTCCCCTGTACAACTAAAGCTAGTGTTGAGTAGATCTTAATACTCAGTGTTCCTCTCTAACATTGGCGATTGACTTGACTTGCAAAGCCCTTTTTGATGTGACAAAAGCTTTTATTTGGGCTTAAGCCGTAATATATCCCTTCCGCCATGATTACCAAAGGTTCTTGCCAGCTATACTGCAAACTAAAAGAATACACACTGATGTCTTGTTTTTGTTCTACTGTGGCAGGAAGAGAAGTCAATAGGAAGCGGAATACTACCCTTGCTTCAACGGGCTACACAGGTGCAGACATTTGGACAGAGGAACCATGTTTGCTTAAAAGAGGGTTCAATCACTGTTCCTCGGTATGCTCCACCGCAGAAGATGCAGTCCCGGGAAAACTCCTCGATCCATCTTCGTTTATTTCAGAGGATTGTTTTATGACGTGGGAAATGACCCCGAGGGTGGTTCGAGGTAATTTGATCTGAATGCTTAGCCATGCAATGAAGATTCATAGACCTATTACCATCCCTGAATTGCTCAAATATAATCAGTGATGATATTTTGTTTGTCAAAATGGGCACATGGGCGCACGAGCAGCTGTGTGGGAAAACTTCAAGGACAATCCACTGTTCGACATCTCAACAGAGCACCCGGCGACATATTATGAGGACATGCAGAGAGCAATCTTCTGCTTATGCCCACTTGGATGGGCCTCATGGAGTCCAAGACTGGTGGAAGCCGTGATCTTCGGTTGCATCCCTGTGATCATAGCAGACAACATGCGATCCCTTGGGAAGATATTGGTGTGTTTGTCGATGAGAAGGATGTTCCTTACCTGGACACAATACTGACATCGATCCCACCAGAGGTTATACTGAGAAAACAGAGGCTGTTGGCTAACCCATCGATGAAACAGGCGATGCTGTTCCCGCAACCAGGGAATGCGTTTCATCAACTGTTGAATGGGTTGGCTCGTAAGCTTCCACATGAGAGGAATGTGTATCTGAGACCAGGTGAGAAGCTGTTGAACTGGACGGCAGGACCGGTTGCTGATCTGAAACCTTGGTGAGGACAAAGGTGATAGAATTGATTCTTTTGGTTGTTGGTTGTTGTCTTCTTATCTCTGTATTTTGTAGAATTAGAACCCTTTTTCTTCTTCTTATGTTGAACGGAAAATGCTTCATCATTGTGATGAAACTAGAATCCTTTTGAGAGTTTGACGTTCTACAAGAAAAAAGAGCCAAAATTAGTTCTCGTTCTCTTTACGTTTTTCAATCATTCTATAGAAAACTGAAATCAAGCAAGTGTACCTCGTATGCGTCTTTCTCTATGTGTATAGGTTTGTTTTGTGTTCACAGATGAAGTAAATTTATCAATGGCTCCACCAATGCACCTAAAAACGCCTTTCTCGATATAATTGTTTTGTCTAATGTCTTCTGAGTTTGACACCACACGAGATAAGAGCAAAAAGTTTGTACAGTGGAATCTAGTATGAAAAAGGGTAAAATTGTCGTTTACAAAACTAGCAGAGATTTACTGATTTTTGTTAGTTAAAAAGTCTTGCCGGAATCGAACCGGCGACATAAAGATTTCTTAGAGAGAACCCATTACAGTCTTTCGCTCTATCAACTGAGCTAAGATTGGTTACTAATTTATTAGTTACGAGAACTTTTAAGTGAAAAGACTCACGCTCGAGACTAAGTTATAAGTTCACAAATCACAACCATTGACTTACCAAGTGGGATTGATTTTCATACAAAAAAAGGAGAGAGAGAGAAGAGTGGGATTGAGTTTCAAAAAAAATTTGACCGGAAATGATGGCACTAGACGAAAGCAACAGAATCAATTCCAACTTTGGTAAGTCATAACTATCATCATTAGCAAAAAATATTAAAATTGGCATTTACATATTAATTAACTTCTGTAAAATTCATTCAATGTGACCAAGATAATCACATTCTTGGCAAGAGTAAGCATCATGTCCAGAGCCGTGCTCACCTTGTTTAAAAAGGCGGCTGCCTTAGGCCACCATGATATATCTAAATTTTGTGGTATGAATTTTAAATTTTAGTTAGAAATAAGCTATTGTATATGTGTAAATAGTATCTCTTTTATTAGTTTTTCATTGATGATTTTCTATAAACATAGTGAAGTTAGGCTTAAATCGTTCTATGTTTAGTCATTATTAGTTTCAAATATAAAATTTACGTTATTTGTCCAAAGTTAATTTTCTTTTGATTATGTTTTCTATTACTACTTTTTTTCTTCTCGTACATTATTTTTCATATATAATTCATATAATTCATTTTATTTTATATTTTTCGTTTTTAAAAAAATACATCAACACAGATGTTATAAATAACACATTTACATAATCTTGTAATAAATCATCTTTTAATATTGAAATTTTATTTGATATAGTAAACTGTATAGTTTGTCTCTAGACTGAAAATATTGAATGTAACCTTTTTATAATATTGGATGTATTTTACTAGGTGTTTCATGTTTTTTTATTAACATTTTTTTTATAGAAGCCACATTTTTAAATTTCGCCTTAAGCCCCTTCAAACCTAGACACAGCACTGATCATGTCCTGCATGTACCATTGTCTCGCACACATTCCAGTGCTCCAAAGGCTCGTCATTGCCTAAGAATGTTTTGCACACAAGTGGATGAGTGTGAAAAGTTTTCTTGACGAGAGACTTGGGTATCCCAGACAGTGATAATAGGAATCGAGAGAAATGGCACTAGTACTGTGGCATTCATTAGGATTCCATATTCGATTCCTGACCTAACAAAAAAAAAAAAAAAAGACAACATCTAAAAGGCAAAGAATCTGAACT